ACTCCGAGCATCCAATGATCGGCAGGATCGGAATCGATTATTCGGATCATCCAATGATCGGAGTAATCGGGTCCGATTGTTCCGATCATTGGATGATCGGATGGATCGGATTCGATCAATCCGATCATACACTTGGAATCCCACAGAATCCACATGGGAACCCAATGCAATCGGAATCCTATTATTCCGATCATTGGATGATCGGAAGGATCGGATTCGATCATTCCGATCGTCCAATTGGAATCCCACAGATTCAAAAATGGAGCCCAATACGATCGGAATCCTATTACGCCGATCATCCAATGATCGGAGTAATCGGATCCGATTATTCCGATCATCCAATGATCGGCGTAATCGGATCCGATTATTCCGATCATCCAATGATCGGAGGAATCGGATCCGATTATTCCGATCGTCCAATTGGAATCCCACAGATTCCAAAATGGAGCCCAATACGGTCGGAATCCTATTACGCCGATCATCCAATGATCGGAGTAATCGGGTCCGACTATTCCGATCATCCAATGATCGGAGTCATCGGATCCGATTATTCCGATCATCCAATGATCGGAGGAATAGGATCAGATTATTCCGATCGTCCAATTGGAATCCCACAGATTCCAAAATGGAGCCCAATACGATCGGAATCCCATTGCGCCGATCATCCAATGATCGGAGTCATCGGATCCGATTATTCCGATCATCCAATGATCGGAGTAACCGGATCCGATTATTCCGATCATCCAATGATCGGAGGAATCGGATCCGATTATTCCGATCGTCCAATTGGAATCCCACAGATTCCAAAATGGAGCCCAATACGATCGGAGTCCTATTACGCCGATCATCCAATGATCGGAGTAATCGGATCCGATTATTCCGATCATCCAATGATCGGAGTAATCGGATCCGATGATTCCGATCATCCAATGATCGGAAGAATCGGATCCGATTCTTCCGATCGTCCAATTGAAATCCCACAGATTCCAAAATGGAGCCCAATATGATCGGCATCCTATTGCGCCGATCATCCAATGATCGGAGTAATCGGATCCGATTATTCCGATCATCCAATGATCGGAGTAATCGGATCCGATTATTCCGATCATCGAATGATCGGAGGAATCGGATCCGATTATTCCGATCGTCCAATTGGAATCCCACAGATTCCAAAATGGAGCCCAATACGATCGGAGTCCTATTGCGCCGATCATCCAATGATCGGAGGAATAGGATCAGATTATTCCGATCGTTCAATTTGAATCCCACAGATTCCAAAATGGAGCCCAATACGATCGGAATCCTATTGCGCCGATCATCCAATGATCGGAGTAATCGGATCCGATTATTCCGATCATCCAATGATCGGAGTAATCGGGTCCGATTATTCCGATCATCCAATGATCGGAGGAATCGGATCCGATTATTCCGATCGTCCAATTGGAATCCCACAGATTCCAAAATGGAGCCCAATACGATCGGAATCCTATTACGCCGATCATCCAATGATCGGAGTAATCAGGATCCGATTATTCCGATCATCCAATGATCGGAGTAATCGGATCCGATTATTCCGATCATCCAATGATCGGAGGAATCGGATCCGATTATTCCGATCGTCCAATTGGAATCCCACAGATTCCAAAATGGAGCCCAATACGATCGGAATCCTATTACGCCGATCATCCAATGATCGGAGTATTCGGATCCGATCTATTCCGATCATCCAATGATCGGAGTAACCGGATCCGATTATTCCGATCATCCAATGATCGAGGAATCATTCGGATCCGATTATTCCGATCGTCCCAATTGGAATCCCACAGAATTCCAAAATGGAGCCCAATACGATCGGAATCCTATTATGCCGATCGTCCAATGATCGGAGTAATCGGATCCGATTATTCCGATCATCCCAATGATCGGAGTAATCGATCCGATTATTCCGATCATCCAATGATCGGAGGAATCGGGTCCGATTATTCCGATCGTCCAATTGGAATCCCACAGATTCCAAAATGGAGCCCAATACGATCGGAATCCTATTACGCCGATCATCCAATGATCGGAGTAATCGGATCCGATTATCCCGATCATCCAATGATCGGAGTAATCGGATCCGATTATTCCGATCATCCAATGATCGGAGGAATCGGGTCCGATTATTCCGATCGTCCAATTGGAACCCAACAGATTCCAACATGGAGCCCAATACGATCGACATCCTATTACGCCGATCATCTAATGATCGGAGTAATCGGATCCGATTATTCCGATCATCCAATGATCGGAGTAATCGGATCCGATTATTCCGATCATCCAATGATTGGAGTACTCGGGTCCGATTATTCCGATCGTCCAATTGGAATCCCACAGATTCCAAAATGGAGCCCAATACGATCGGAATCCTATTGCGCCGATCATCCAATGATCGGAGTAATCGGATCCGATTATTCCGATCATCCAATGATCGGAGTAATCGGGTCCGATTGTTCCGATCATCCAATGATCGGAGGAATCGGAGCCGATTATTCCGGTCGTCCAATTGGAATCCCACAGATTCCAA